GGGGGTTGTTGTTTCACTCCACATTTTCTGATTTGTTTAGATTTGTACCGTTCTTAATTTGTTTAATTGATATGTATCATTTTTTATTTTTTTTGCTGGATGCTTTCTTAATATTCTGTGAGGCTGGGTCTGAATATGAGGTAGATTTGAGCGAAGAGCCTCATCTTGTTAATTTTGTTTATTTTCTTTGTCCCCTTTTGTAGGGCTGTTTTAAATGAGTCAAGATCATCTGGAAGAAATCTGGCCGGGAGCAGACATCTGGTAGACTTCGGTGACGGCGACAGCAATCCAAAAAAATCTTTACGATTCGAACCAGACCAGAAGGATGTGTACCATGACGTGGATTTTGATTTACCGTCTGTCTCACACTCGAGAGCTGGAGGGTACCTCGATGATGATGTCTCATCAACTGACTCGGCTGACATAATTGCCCAGGCTAAGTACAGACTCAAGAATCTGGATAGAGAAGCCCATGTGAGTGGAGGACATCTTAGTTTGGTTGCTTTTTTCCATGTGTGGGGACTGCGGCTGACTGGAGAATGTCTGTGTAGTTTTATACTTGTCTGTCGATCTGTCTGTCAGTCTGTCTGTTTATCCGTTGGTCTGTCTGTCTGTCCATCTGTTCTGTCCATCAGTCTGTCTGTCCAGCCATCTGTCCTATCCGTCGGCCTGTCCGTCAGTCTGTCTGTTTGTCCTGTCTGTCTGTCTGTCTGTCTGTCTGTCTGTCTGTCTGTCTGTCGGTCTGTCTGTCTGTCGGTCTGTCGGTCTGTCGGTCTGTCGGTCTGTCGGTCTGTCTGTCTGTCTGTCTGTCTGTCTGTCTGTCTGTCTGTCTGTCTGTCCTTTAGTTAGTCTGTTTGTTTGTCTGTCCATCTGTCATTCTGCGTAACTGATATCAGTTCAGTTTACCAGTTTACAAAACCTTTCTTCCTTTCCTGTGAATATACACCATTTGCTGGTGTCTGTGAAGGCCATTTCAAACTTCTTTATAATTCAAATACAGGAGAAAATAAATGCAATTTGAATAGAGTACATGCTGGGCTGCTGTGAACACCTTGGTGTGCTGTAGTAACCTCGGTGGTCGCTTGTGTCCTTGTTGTTGAAGGAGTCTTGAAGCTGATAGCATTCTGCATATCTCTAATTAAAAGACACGACGGAACTGGCAGCATCAATTGAAGGGCCAGGTGGCACACAGTTATATGAATGCCCCCCCCAAAAAAAAAAAAAAAATTTTTTTAAAGATATAATAATAATAATAATAATAATAATAATAATAATAATAATAATAATAATAATAATAACAGACTGCATTTATAAGGCTCTCTCCCATACAACAAGTATAAGCTTTGAATACTTTACATTAATCATATGATCACTGAACGTTATACTTTGTTCACGCAAGATAAAACATTTCACAGGAACAAAAAAAAAAGAAAAAACCCAGTTCAACCACATAGATATAGGCATAGATATATGCGCAAAACCTTGGGTTGGGAGAAACCTGTTCAATTCAACATGGCTGTTGCAGTTCTGAGGTCAGCCCGACAGTGGAAATCCCTCAGGCTTGGACAGACCTAATAACCAACACTGTGATGTAGTATAGACGTCACTGTACATGTTTTGAACACTCATATTTCATGTTGAGATTCTTAATATGAATATTCATTGTGGGTTGTTGGCGGGTGCTCTGGTGTGGTTTGCTTCTTCTTTCCTTTCAAATATCTATCGTCCTTATCTCCCCTTCTTTTTTAAAATGTTTGTTACTCTCTTTTAACACTTCTAATCTTCTGGCGGTCATAGGACCTTATGCAGTTGCGAGCGCCATAAAAACCTTTACTAAAACTTAACGAAAAAAGAATATTCATTTCTGGATAGTGGCAGTGTTGTTTTGTTTGTTTTTGTAATGAGGACAACAAAGAAACAGGTTCGTGCGTTTGAAAGCACTGTCCTGTGATTAGAAGACGGAAGAAAGGAGGGGAGAGAAAAAAAGGAATGGAGAAAGGATGAAGAAGTAAGGAAAGACCAGAGGAAGGAAAGAAGAAAAAAAAAGAAGGAAGGAAGGAGAATGGAGTTAAGAAAAAAGATTTTAAAAAATGACCTCTAACATAACAGAAGGGGATAGATCTATCTCCAAGGCAATATCAAATATTTATCTTAGGGTTTGTGTTTTGGTACTATTTCTACGTTCAAGGGGCCCTACCTCACTACATGAGTAGGTGGCGGTTGCAACTTTGCTTTTGGTCCTCTGTTGTCGGACGTATGTGTCCACTACGTCCTTTAAGAGTTAAAAATTTGTCTCATTCGAAATGGGGCGGTGACTCCAAACTCTTCGCAAAGCAGAGTAGAGTGAACAATGGAGAAACCACACCAACATGGCTGTTGTTATTCTGAGTCAGCAGTTTGCTAAGAATTAATTGAGACTCTTTATTGTACTGTTAGATGATCGTTCGTTCCCCGGTTTGAAAGAAAACCTTCAGTGTACTCGTATCTTACCGTCACATGCTCACTTTTTTCTGTGCACAACTCTTGTCTCATGAAAATATGTTCTTTGACTCCCCGCAGGCAAACTGAAAATCCAGCTCTAAGTACATGTAGTTGTATAACTCTGTGGTATTTACTGACTGAGTTACAGAGCGGAACAGATTCTCGCTTGGCTGTGCATTTAGAAAAGGGCATTTCTCTTTCTTATCTATAACGGCTCACGGCATCTTCAATAGCAACATTTGATCAGATATCCTCTCTCCACCGTATTTTTCAATTTTTCAAAAAAGGCTACTAAGCTAAGGACTATTTATTTTGGGAAAGAAAAAGTAAATCTCTTTAATTTCAGTGATAACTATTTACCCAAAGGCAACTTGTGACACTTTCTACTATATCAGTTTGATCTGATATTCCATCTCCACCTTATTTTCCAAGTTTTTTTAAAGGCTACATAGAACTAATTAATTTTGTTGAAAAAGGTGTGTGCTTCATTTCTATTCCGCCCACTCCTCCCTTAGTAGCTCGTGACATATTCTATAGCCCAGTTTCCATCCAGTACTCCCCCTCCGCTCCTCCCAATTTTCGTTGAGTCTTTTTAAGGTTTTCCATGACTAATTAGTTTTGTTCTACTTTTTCCCTTGAAATGCCACCTCTAAATACTTTAAAAGAACCTTTTAGTTTAAATGTAACAGCAGTGAGAACCTGCAATTTGCTGCTCTTTAGGCCTCAAAGTCTTCTATTGAAGATATGTCATTAGGAAAGAAACGCCAAAATATGCAGACAAAAGCAAATGTTGCCAACCAGTATAAGGATTTTGCTCTGAATTGTGTTTTATTTTGTGCAAGTAAAAAGTGAGAAAAACAAAGAAATTGATTAGTTCAAAGGTGCCCTTTGTATAAAGGCACGAAGGAAGGAGGGGAGGGAAAAAAAGAAAGATTGAAGGTAGAAAAAATAATGGCAGCAGAAAGGAAAAGAAAAGAAGGAATTGAAAAATAAAGGAGGATGGAAGGAAGAAAAGAATAAAATGAAAAGGAAGAAAAGGAATGAAAAGGAAGAAAAACTGGAAGATAGATCTATCTCCAGGACAATGCCAAATGTTTATCTGAACGTAGATATGTTCTGGGAAAATCAGGAAAGGCAACTGGACTCTTTCACACCAAATGCCTGTGCAGGATACTCAAAGTCCCCTTGAAAGACCTGATAACGAAAAAAGAACTATAAGAAAGATCCCACCTGAAAGTGCTGGAAAACACCTTGGAGAAAAAAAAAGAAAAAAAGATAGCCCAGTCATATCCTATTGGAAAATCGATGGGAACAGAGGCAGGGGGCGACCAAAGATGAACTGAACTCGTTAACAAGAAATGAAATGATATCCCCGCCTTAGCTGAAGACATATCTTCTTGGTCATCTTTGATTGCCTCTTGCGTCTTAAATTAGGGAGTGTCTAAGTTTAAGTAAGTAAGATGTTCTGGCATTTTTTCTGTGTTCAAGAGGCCGTACCTCACGACTGCTTCTACTGAAAAAGTGTGATTTCACAAGTCTATTCCTAAATTCTATTCCCTTACGGTCTTTCTTCAGGGACGTTGTATCCCTCTCAGCATGGGTTAGCCCTGACAGGAAGGAGCAAAGCCCGCCTTCTCTATGCTATAAATTGTGTCGAAGGGGGCATAAAAACAACTAAATGTAAAATAAATGACACATCGCTACCTCAGACTTGCAAAGTTCTATCTGCTCAGTACCAAGTTTTGAGAAATTTAACGTCAAAGATTTTGAGTTTCACATCATGTCAATGCTTTTTCGAATGCAATTCTTTTAATATTTTGATAACGGCTCCACATAATCTTACGATTTTGATAGAGCAGGTAGAACATTTGGTTTCTGACTTCATGGTCTTAGTAACTCAAAGCAGCCAGAAATGTCAGATAGAACTTTGTAATTCTGAGGTAGTGACATGTGGACTGAGTTCACCTTAAATTTGAGGGAGTAAGCATTAACAAGACGGTGCAAAATGTGAAAGCAGTTAGCGCGTTGGTCGAGAAAACACCAAAGAAATCTGTTCGAGAATGTATCGGTGAACTAGGCTCATCTAAGTCCCCAACGTACAGAAACTTAAAGCATAATTTGAAAGTCAAGCTGTGTCACATTTCTATCCACTTAGGAAAACCCCAGACATTGCTTTAGAGAGAAAAACAGTGAGTACATGGGTTTTTAAGACGTGAGACAGAGAGAGAATTTTCTACAGTCGCTTTAACGATGAGGCTCATTTCAACATGACTAGAAAAGTTCATTCTGGGAATTATGTGCCCTGGGCTTCAGAAAGGCCGAATGATATGAATAAGAGAATCTTGCGGAAGAAGCAACATTATGGGTAGCTTTAAGCTCTTTAGGTATCTTTGGGCCATTTTGTTTCTGTGATGAAGAAGGAGCCGCACAAACTGTCTCTTCAGATTCATTATTCAAATGTATTAAATCAATTGTGGTGATCCATGGGGCGGTTCTGTGGTTATGAGGCAAGAGGTCGGCAATAGTTAATGCAGGATAAGACAGCGATTGAGCCATCCGTGTTTGTGGTGTAATGGTTTATATTTTTCATCCAGGGATGATGGCACCTCTGGCTACCTCGGCCAATACAGGCCAGAAAATGCTGGTTGCATTGATTGTAAGGAAATGATCTGTTTTCTGACCATAACGTTGTTTTCTGTCTCATGAGATGCTGCTTATATATATATGCCGATGGTTAGAGGGCACCACCAGCTGATATGTTCGGCTTCTTTTCTTTCCTTCTCTTATTTCTGTGTGTCTGTCTGTCTGTCTGTCTGTTTGTGTGTGTGTGTTTGTCTGTCTGTCTATCTGTCTGTCTGTCTGTTTGTGTGTGTGTGTTTGTCTGTCTGTCTGTCTGTCTGTCTGTCTGTCTGTCCGTCTGTCTGATTCTTTCCCTGCTCTAAATGTCCATTATTGTGTCAATGTACTGCCCTTTACTTAAACCATAGTTACACAATGTGTTGCCAATTTATTTTCCATCTAATTCTCAGACTCTGGAGAAAGCTTATCACGACTTCCATTGTCGCATGACCAACATCAACGCCTTGCCCGCTGACCCACCTCCCCCTAGGTCCACCCATGCAACCCCACAAGCTGGTGAGTCACTCTGAAGACTCTCTAATTAAAAAAATAAAAATACTGGTCCCTTGGCCCGTCTATGAATATGAGCTTTAAAGGTACAAGAGGTCCAGTATTGTGAGAAAATCAACAAACAAAAAAACTTGTGGAAAAGCTTCAATGCGAGAAAATTATGTGAAAAAACCCCAACAACTTCAATTGCAATTATCTTGTGTTGAGGTTTTTGTGCCACATGCTTTGCCTTTTCTGAAACCTTCTTTTGTTATAGGCTTTTCTGTACCTTTCTTTAGATTTAGGCTTTTACGCAACTTAAAAAAATTTATAGTGAGGATGCAAGAGTTGTTAGGTCGGACTCTGAATAATGTCTTCACATTGCCTTTTTTCTTCTCGATCGCCTCACACTTGAAGTTGAAGCCTGGTATGTATCATATAGTGGGCCTTCCTGCTCAGTTCTTTTGTCAATGTACAGTCATCCATGCACTGGATCCGTACAATAGATGGGGCCTGATTGCGCCCAGATAACCTGTCCACTTAGTGTTTTCTCTTTTACACCTCACTGAGTCCCAGCAAGTTTCCTCATTATGTTAAGCTTCTTCCTGGCCTTATTTTCTGCATTCTGAATGTGTTGTTTCCATGTGAGACGCTTGTCAAAGATTATTCCTAGATATTTCTGTTGGTTGTCAAACTTTAGGGGGGTTGGGGGTGGGGGGGGGGTCTTGTCCAATGCCAGGTTCTTTTTGGCTCAGCTTGGCTGAGAGTGAAGAGTATAGCGGAAGATTTTTGTTTGTTTAGGGATACATATCAGGGCTCTGTCAATTTAGTGAGTTTGTCCCAGTGCTGATTGCATGCGATCTGCGGCAGTGGTGATGAATCCCTTCAATCACCAAAGAACCAGGTTGTCTGCATATAATGTGGCATGTATTCCTTTTGGTAGTTCTTTCATGGAGTCTTTAATGAAGAGGATAAAGAGCAAAGGTGACATGACTCTGCCTTTGCGTACTCCTTGTTGCAGCAGCATTTTCCATCCTCAATATCAATCCACCAGAACACCTGCTCTACGGTTGTGTAGATAGGATTTGGTCCGTTGGTACACGTTGCCTTGGATACCACTTCCTAGGAGTTTGTCGTGTTGACCTTTCTTCCAAACCTTGTAAAATAGTTTTTTGTAAATCAATAAATGTTGCTAGCCTCTAGGTACCAGTGCATTCTGCAAACTATGATGTGTTCCATTGTCTTAACTACAGAGTTTTTTAGGCTGATAGGTCATTAACTTACTGGTCATGCCTTACTTTTTCCTGACTTGAGGTTCAGGATCACTGTTGCTTTTTTCCAGCACTAGGGCACTTGCCCATTTTTGTAGCTTAATTTGAAAATATGTCAGCTGACTCATAGGGTGTTTCATGACATGGTACTGCCACCTACCACCTCACCCCGTCCTGGGAAGAGCATTGCCAGTTGGTCTGGGGCTTCTTATTCAACATATTCACAGCTAACCTCCTTTACAGTGGCCATTCCCTATTGTCATCTGGGACCTGCCGGGTCGGTGATGGTCACCCCTAGCCTGGTCTTCCTTCTGGATATTTGACATTTAGATGGGTCATCAATAGGCTGTGTCTTGATCAATACACAGTAACTCAGTCTGTAAGAACTGGGTAGGCTACTACACACTGGCAACCAGCAATGACATATTGATGCTGTGTGATATTGTGTATTACATAACGTTGATCATACAATGTTTGTGTATACGATTGTTGAAACAATTTTGCCTAAGGGGATCAATTAAAGCTGTATCTTGGTAAATCAGTTTGTCTATTGCTCTTCTTGTTGTTCTGAAGGATTTTGGGGTAATGGAGTCAATCTGTACTCACTGATTCCAGGGAAAGTCCATAGTTCATTTAATGTGCTTTGTTTAAATTTCAGTGAGCTGTTTTTGTTACTGCGAGGGTATGCTTGAAATGAACTCTGTTAAAACTGTTTTTGGCTTTTATGAAGTCTTTTTGGAATTTTCATGCACCATGACAATATTAGAAAAAAGAGGGACCTGAAAGGGCTAGTTCATTTTAATGATAATTTGTTCTTCTTTTTTGCATTCCCCTGCTACATCTCATGGGTAGTCAACTGCTGGTTCTACAATCTGCAGTGCAGCTGATTTGTGTGACCATTTTTTTCTTACTTCATAGAGCCCTTTGCCTTCAGGCAGCCTCATTCTGATTTCTGCTACTCTTTTTATACTGATGAGAGTATTTTGCATGGGTGGCGGTGGAAGACTATTGTTATCGATTTTAGGACCTCGGAGGGATCTTAAAAGTGCGCTACTTGCTCATGGGACCTCCAAGATTTTTTGCCCCTATTCAAGAAGGCTTGGTGTTTAATCTTACTTACCCAAAGATCAGGACTGTGGCTGACAGACAGCAGTAAGAAAGAGCCTGGAGTAGGAGTAGAAAGAGTCAAAGGTAAAGGAGAGAGGAGCCCAGAGGGGGTGGCAGGGGTAGAAAGTGGAGATGACTGCAGATGACAGAATATGACCAGAGAAATGGAAAGGAGGGGAAAGGGGAACATTTTAGAGAATAAATTTTTTTTTGGTGCTTTCAGGTTTTGAACTCAGGGCCTATTGAATGAGAGGCGAACACTCTACTGCCAGACCACTAGAGCCCCAATGTTAATTTGTGATTTCCCATTGTCCTCTGAACACAGTCTTTAGCAAGTGTACTATTTCAGTGGCTCTTGGTTGAGCCCTTTGACCTATATTGTGTCCCACTCAGACCGGTAACATTTAAGTTTCAGGAAATATTAACTCAGCTTTCAATCAGGGACTTTGATGCTTCTTAGGTTTCCAGACTATGTGCTTAAGAAATACTGTCTGTGTTGTCGTCTGCTAGACATATACCCAACAGGAGAGGGATTTTTATAAATAATCATCATCAAATGTCTTCTCTGGAGAAGACATCGGTGATCATGGATCTTCATCCCTCTTTTTCATTCGAGGTCCTCATAATGAGTTGTTGTTCATTGTATTGTTAGTCAATCAAGTGTTCAGGCTCTTTATGAATTTTGTACCTTGGTGTCCTCTGTTTTTCTTCCCTTCAGTTTTCTTGTCATACTTAGTCTTAGTGAATGCATCCAACTAGTTTTCCGCACGCTCGTATAACCATACATGCAGTTGCGAGCACCGTCAAACTCTTACTAAAGTAAACTAATATGTAGTTTTTCACTTGTAAATAGAGTTGTTTTATTGTTGTTGATAATGACAGGTTCCCAACAGGAGAGAAATATGGGGTCTCCAAGGCAGAGTCCAATACCCTTTGAAAATCCGATGTCGTCGACTCCTTACAAACGTACAAGGATGGCACAAGATTTGAACGGTAGAGTATTTTGCTCCCCTGCAAAGTTTCAGTCTTAAAAGATGTTTAAAATTTGTTAAATTCTTGATTTTAATTATGTGTTTCTTGTTTTCATAGACACGTATGTTACATGACGGTCCTACAGTTTTTTGTTTTTTGTTGGTTTTTTTTGCTTAGAATGCAAATGTAACAGGTATGCACAACAAAGTGTTAAGAGTTACCAGTTTATCTTTGTTAATGACACAAACGTTATAGACATTTTGTAACTCAAATGTTATAATGTAGACATTCTGTAGCACAAAGGTTGTAGACATTTTGTGACACAACACGATAGACATTTTTTAAACACAAATGTTATAGACAGTTTTTGACACAAATTGTATAAACATTATGAGACATAAACTTTATAGACACTTTGTGAAACAAACGTAAAAGACAGTCTTGCAGGGTTCAGTGGCTTGTAATCAGTGTCTTTTCATTTTTGACACAAAGGCTACAGATATATTTGACACAAGCATCGGAGACATTTTGCTGAACGAAATAATCACAGATTCTCATCATTTGTAACACAAATTTTACAGACAGTTTTGCGGAGCTCGGCACACAGTCCCACCAGCAAAAGAAGACTTCTGTCCCGACACAGCTGGACCTGTCAGCTGTAGGGGATGACCCGGTTATTGTAGAAAGGTGAGGAAGTCGGCAGTGAGTGCCCTTATTTTCAGTACTGCTTTATTTGACCAAATGTGTGTTGTTGTCTTGTAGACTGGCTGTAAACCACAGTTAAACACCTGGACAAATTTAGAAGTGGCTTGTTTTGAAGTTCAGCAAAGTAGAAGTCTTCTGTTTGTCCTTTTCCTAGTTCAGCTCTTATGATATGTTATATGCTCCTCATCCAGAATTAGACACTGTCTTTTATTGGTCAGGGTGAACTTGTCACTGAAGAAGGGCTGTGTATGTTTGTGTTTTCAGGTTGAAACTATGCTGAAGATATTTAGCAAAACTTTTTAAAATTTTGCAGAGAACTAAGATACTGTTCCTGTCTAATGGCTTGTTTCTCTTTTCATTTCTCATTGTTCATTCTCCTTTTGAATTTCGAGCTTTGCTCCTACATGCTCTCTTTTTTGCTCTCTTTTTCTGGTCTTGAATTTGTGCAGGTAGTTGTTAAATCTAGATCTTATGTGTGCCTTTCTGTTTGCTGTGTCATCTGACATTATCATCTTAAGCCTCTTTTTGTCAGACTGGGTAGTTGGATGGTGCCACTGGTAGGTCCTATTTCTTTGTTTTACTTTCACTGTTTCTGTCTGTCTGTCTGTCTTGGCTTTTTCCTAGCACTTAATCACCATTATTGTGTTGATGTGCTTCTCTGCTTCTCTTTTGTCAAAATAATCAGTCAATAATCTATTGTTTAGTCGACAAATGAAACTACCCCTTTTGCTAGTGGATGACTCAGTATTTAAGTGGGTAGTCACTAGGATATGTCTTTGTGAAAGATGTGACAACCCTAGTTCAAATCCAGGATGCTGCACAGCAGGGACTAGAAATGGCCTGTCTGTAATGTCTGCATTAGCAGAGTGATACGTCTGTATTAGATCTATGTGATTTTTGTTATGCATTGTATTTTTGTATAGCAGCATTCAAGGACGCTTGACACTTGAATTGACTTAAAATTCCAGGCCTTTCACTGGAAAAATAGAAAGTAGAAGAGACAACGGTAGACAAAGAATGACTTAATTGGCTAACTTGAACAGATGGGCGACAGGTGAACAAAACTAGAATAAAACAGGTTTTTGGAGAGCTTCCTAACAGAAAAATGAGTGGCAAATCATGGTCTCTGATGTCTGTTTTAGATCTTTCTTTCGAAGAGGAATGCTTTGAACTTGCTTTTGTGAACCAATTGTCCCCAAAGGGGTCATTAACTCTTTCCAGACGTATCGCCGATATATCGGTGTGAGTCCACACCCCTTGCGGACGTATCGCCGTTATATTGGCTGTGAAAGGGTGCCTCAGTATTGTTTCGTTTTAACATGATCCGTCATTTATGATTACTTGTTATTGTTATTGAAAACTTGGAAAGGGTTTAGGAAACGAGAACATACAGTTTCACTTTGTCAAAGCGTGGGTTAGGGAGAAAACGAGTGAGTTAGTTCTTGCGGTCTTGCATCACTAAAACGATGTAACCTGACTCAGAGAAATATCATAACTCTAACAAAAATTGGAATATTGCTTGCAAATAAAAAGCTGCGCATTCGGAAATTTATGGATTATGCTCTTGGCCTGTATATGATAAGATAGCTATGCTGATTTGCTTTTACATGTTTGGTGAATGTAATTTTTCCGTCAAAATTTATTTTTCTCATCACCATCGCCATTTCTAACCCTTCTAATGCATACTTATGTTCAAAATAAATCCTTGTTTCTTGTTGGAAGGTATTCCTCATTCAATTTCCTTCAATTTTATATATCATATGTTACATTTTCAGTAATGGTTTTGCTTATATAAAGTTATTTTGAACACCACCTGTGTATCCAAAGCGAGCAACAAGTTAATTACGTCTTGACCCCCAAAAACCTAGTCCGGAAAGAGTTAAAAGTGATGTATATTATTTTAAAACATTTTTTATTTTGTGCTGTCAGTGGGGATGCGGAGCGCCGAGTCAAGATGAGGTCTATCACAGTTGACGACCTGGATCAGCGACCGGGCTCTCCAGGAATAATGGTGGTGGCCGAGTCCGTGTCCAGTACTGACGACACAGGTGAGGCTCAAGTAGGGTCAGTAAAAAGAAAGTTAACTGCCACCCCCTCTTTCTCTTTCAAACATACTTGACCTAATGGGCAGATCCTGGGGTCATTGAGGGGGTGTTACTGGGGTTGGTGCTATGTCTGACGCGGGCAGGTTACAGCTTACTGCAATAGCTTGCTGTGAATGTTGCTGTGTTTGTGAAGACATGGGGAGGGGGGGATATTCTTTTGGGTTTTTTTGTAGGATCAAGTCATTAAGAAAGAGGATATAGCTATAAACAAGTCCTGGGAGACTTGAAAAGCAGCTTGTTGGCGAGGTTTTATAATATTCTAAGCCTAGAAAGCAAAATGTTCAGGATAGAGGAAAAAAAACGGTCATTATTTAACAATATTGTGTAAACTTTACGCTAGTGGTTTTGCCTTCTTCAACATTTAGAAATGGAATTTTGACAAATATTTCTTGAGTATGTGCAACCGATGTCACAGATTATGAAACTGCAATTTAAAAAATGTTTTCAATAATTCGGGTCTAGTGCATCTACACAGCTGGCTTACAATCTGTATCTTCTCTTGTTGGTGTTGATGTTCTTGCTCAAATTGTGCACCAGCTGTAGTGTAATGGTGAGTCTCTTTGCCTTTGTACACTGAGGATGTGAGTTTGATTCCTGCACAGGGAATCCTTTTTATCAAACTGCTCTAATGACAAACTGTCAAAAACAATAACCTGTACAAACAATCATTTCTCACTTTTCCTTTGCCTTTTTTCTATATTAGAATGACACTGTCCTAGAGGACCTCTTTTGTCCTCGACTATGGATGGGTGGTCATCTTGAACAAGTTCAGCCATATATCTTGACACTGTTAGACAGGGTCAAAGCAGCCTGATTCCTGAATTATGTTAATTTGTATCCGATGGGGACATGAAACATTTTCTAGTGACCTGGTAAGAGGGTGCGAGAAATTGTTTCGTTAAGTGCTCAGTTCTTCAAATTAGTTCATTCAAAGCATACAGTTTCATGCAGTATAAAGCAAACTGTATTAGTTTCAAGTACTCCTACATCATCACTGGTTGAGTCCCTAAATCATTGACGAATTTATTTCTCAACTCTTTATCTCCATTGGGGGTAAACCCCCTACGCCGAGGCCCCTTTTTGGTACTAAATCTAAAAATGCCGAAAACGTCACTAAATTGATCATTAAATCAAAACAAGTGAACCTATTTCGATAGTTCTTCGTCTTATGAATGAAATCCCGATAAAAGAGACCTGTTTCCGAAAAGTGATTTGATGTTGAACTAGTCGTAAAGGAATGTGCCCGAGCCGCTTTCCACAGGCGCAGCAGTTCCAACCGAGAGCCGCTGGGAATGGCTTGCCGGAGATAAGAGTTAAAGTACTTGTTACAGTTAACTTACAGTATGGAGGATGGAGGGGGAGACAGAAGAAAGTGATGATCATGGACGCTTTATAAAAAAATAAGTTTTAGTAAGAGTTTTACGGCTCTTGTAACGCAATAAGGTCATGTAATTGCCGAAGAATAGATGTGTTACAAGAGAGTAACATGCACAAAAGAGAAGGAGAAGAGATACAGACGATAGATGTTTGATAGGAAAGAAGGAGCATACCACACCAGAGCACCTGCCAACCACCCTCAACCATGCACACTGAATCAACTTTACTTAGTGGTTGGCTGGAAGGCACCTCTGGTAGGACTTATTTCTTTTCTTCCCCTCTGTTGTCTCTGCTTGTCTGACTTAATCTTTCTTTACATGCAGTAAATGAATGTAACTGTGTCAATGTGCTATTCTATACTCTGGTTTTAGACAGGTTCAATAAAAAAAAAAAAAAATTAACTTTGCTGCTTCGTTTTCCCAGTGAAAAAGGTTTCAGAGAGGACACATTCACAATCAGGCCCGCCGCCTGGCCCAGTCCAGAGACACGTGTTGTTAGAACCGCTGGTCACTGTGTCTTCAGTGCCGCCACCACCTGTTCCCGAGCCAGCTGTGGCCTCTTTCGTCCCCACAACGACTACCCCCACTGTGTCTAGTCAGCCTTTTTCTCTCGATTCGGCTTGGAAGTCTCAGACGGAGGAGGAAGAAAAAGGCGGTGAGTTATTAAACAAAGGAAAGTAAGACAAATAAAATCCCACTTTTATTCATCTTTGTGGGGAAATTTGGTTTATGATGGTATACACTTCCAAATACACACACACACACATACACCACACATACCCACATATACACACACGCACATACACACACATGCACATACACTCACACTCTCTCTCTCTCACACACACACACACACACACACACACACACACACACACACACACACACACACACACCACACATACCCACATATACACACACACACACCCACATATACACACACGCACATACACACACATACACTCACACACTCTCTCACACTCTCTCTCACACACACACACACACACACACACACACACACACACACACACACACACACACACACACACACACTCACACACATACACACACACACACAAAAATACATACAGTCCTTACCTTATCGTATGCATGACCCCCAGTATTTATCATACACCCTATTTCCATTTTACTTAACAAATTTACTTTTCAGAATATCTAGTGATCCTTTCTAGAACTTTGTGTAGTCCTCAATGAATTGGCTGCTACAGATGTGTTCACTTAACAGCAACCTGGATAAGAGTAACCTCTGCCTAACAGCAACCAAAGCATGTGTAACGGAATTTTCCTACATATATACATTATACTTACCCCCTTTCACAGCACTTTTTCCCCCTCTAACTGCAATTATTATTGCTATAAATTGTCTGACAAAAAATTCTTTTGACAATTCAAAATTGTTATGAGCTCTGTGACTGGTTCATAATATAAGTGTTTATGCATTCTTTGTCTCTTGTTTATCTCCTCACAACACCTGTTTCTAACAAAATTTTTATAATATTTAATAATGCACTCATCTGAGATCTGAGTACAGGAGCTCAGTTCACACCCTGTTACCAGAAGCTACCGTACTTCAAAGTCTCTCCTGGCCGAGGGGAAAAGTCTCGGTATTGGCTCACTGATGCTGCCTATGATCTCACTTTCTGGCATAACAACATCACTACATACTCTGTCTGTGTGTGTGTGAGTGTGTGTGTGTGTGTGTATTTGTGTGAGTGTGTGTGTGTGTGTGTGTGTGTGAGTATGTGTGTGTGTGTTTGTGTGTGTGTGAATGAGGGGGTAGGTGGGTACAGATTACCCTCTTTGGAAATTCAATTAGCAGCAACCTCCGCATAACTGCAACCAAAACTTGCTCTCCAAGGGTATTGCTGTTAGCCGGAAACCTTTGTACTCAGTCTAAGTGAAGAAGATACTTAAATGTGTGTGTTCTAATACTTCTATGCAACCTTTTTAAAAAAAGCAAATACACGTCAGTAAGTATTTACTTAGAGACTTGAACAGATGGGTGGTGGGAAATGACCAGGACGATACAGATTTTTTTAGAGCATCCAGAGCATAGAAATGAGTGGTGAACCATGGTTGCTGATGTCTGTTTTAGACCTGGCACTTGAAGAGGAAGACACCAGCATGAAGGAGAGCCAATGCAAAAAACATTACCAGATTTAAATGTGATACTCCCATTATAATAATATTAAGAATGATGAGGAGCTCACGTCCATCTGGTAGTGTTTCCCCCGTATGTATAAACCTACTTGTGTTTGGTCTAGCCCTGAAAAACTTATACAGTGTTAATTCTTCCAGATGAAGAAGCTCGACGCCGGCAAAAGGAAATGGAAGCTGAATTAGAGAGGCAAGAAGAAAGAAGAAGGGAGGAAGAGAGGGAAGAGCAAAGACTGAATGCAGAGCGAGAGAAAGCTGAACAGGTATGGACAATTGCTGTAATTCTTTTACCTTTATTCAAGCGAATCTTGGTGGGGGGGGGGGGGGGGGGGGGTGTAAAATTTAAGATTAAAATAATATAAGCTTTATGTAGAGCTGGTGGTAGGATTTCAGTTCATATTGAAATTTTCAGTACTCATATTTGCATGTGCAATTGAAGGGAGCCACAGTCCTGCCTTGTACTTGTATAATATATGGTAAGGCTTTCTTTCCTGAATGACCTTCCCAATAATTGCTGAGGTTCCATACATTCTTTGGTGACAAACTTTTTTTCAAAGAAAGACAATGGGGAAATGTCATAATTTTATGTATATCTGGCCTAAAGTTTTTTCCAGTGCAATATAGCACCCTTGCTGTAATGATGATTCTCTCAGTCAATGTCTTGTCTGTGTCTACTTTGGGTCGTATTGGTCACTGACGAGGGCACCAGCTGCAGGTATTGCCCTTTTACTCTCACTCTGTGGTTCCTGTCCTTCTTTCTGTCATGCTTTTTCTGAACACTGAAAATTGCCGCTTGTGGTGTAATGGTTAGGCCTTGCGTACAAAAGGTATGCAATTAATTTCCACTTGTGAAATATATTTGTGAGGCAAGGTGGTGGAATCAGGCTCTCGTCAATTTTTTGGCATGTAGAGTTATAGGTATCATCTTAAAGCTTGTTCACTTGTCTTTATTTTGATGAAAAAAGTATCCATTTATCTTATACATAAGTCGAGATATTTGCGAAAGAAGGAGGTTGAGGTCACCTGTTTTCAGAGGTAAAATTAGTGAGAAAATGGCCGCCAAAGATTTGTTATTTTCTTAGCTGAAGAGTGCGTGGGAACTGAAAATTTACATTTTGTGTGCCTTAAATCAATGTTTTTCAGAAAAATTTCCACAGAAATGAGCTCTTTAATGGGCATGAAAGGTGTTGAGCCAAAAAACAAAAATTCGATAAAAATTCACAAACCTGCGGAAAAATGCAAGTTTCTTCACTTTGATTATTTTGACGAGAGCCTGATTCCATCACGCTGCCTCACATTTTGTTGAGTATTTTTTATCTTCTTGCTGGGATGTAGTTACCTCAAAGACATCAATCCCCTCAGGCAGGCAGTTTTAGTCTGATTTGCGTTTATGGTTGCAGGAAAAATTTGCAATTATTTTTGCCAAGAGGCAGCGTTTTTGGCAGAAAACATTTGCAATCTTTATTATGGAAATGGGTCTTTTTCCTTATTCTTTAACAAACAAATTTTTTACTTGTTTTGTTTCTATCTCACCCAAAGGAAGCACAGGCCGCTGCTGCCAAAGAGCAAGAGGAGGAAGAGAAAATTGACCCTGTCATGAAGCAGTACATGGCTATGGTGCAGCAGCAGAAAGAGAAAGAGAAGGAGGTATGGTGAAATGTACCACTTTTGTCATCTACCACTTTGTTATTTGTTATAAATTATGATTAAAAATTCCACTTTTTTTTTATATGGGTGAAAAAAATTAGGTGACAATGGTATGCCTGTATATATGTGTCAGAGTAAGGGTGTGTGTGTGTGTGTGTGTGTGTGTGTGTGTGTGTGTGTGTGTGTGTGTGTGTGTGAGTGTAAGAGTGTAAAACATCAAACCCATGGACCCGTGTCTAAAATAAAAAGATTTATCTCATTATCTTATCTTTTATAACTCTTTCAAGGAAGATGGTGATATCATGCAAGCAATCAGAAGGGACACAGGACAAAAAATGCCAGTTTTCCTCAATTTTATAATTTTGAAGAGTGCTTGATTTCACCACTCTGCCTCACCACTTAGTATCCTGTGTGAGGAAAAGTATGTCTCTTGAATACAAAATATGAGCCTTAGTACAGGTAAAGATTCTTCTCTGCCGAGATGTTTCACATCAGCTTACCCATATATCAATACGCACTGTCTGAAATACACACTATACAAGTGAAATATATTTTTATAACCCTGTTCGATGGGTCGATCATAGTCAGATGATGTTTGTTTGCAAACAAGGCCGAGTATGTTTGCACTGACGCAACAGTGACCAAGTGTCATTTGTCATCCAAGCCAAAATAGCTCGCAGAGATCAGCGCCGGATGAGCAGTGGTCCTTGACTCTTGCCCGATCAAAATAATAATAATAATAAATAGCATTTGTATAGTGCATATCCCCGCTCAACAGCAGGTTCTATGCGCTTTACACTATTTTATTACCCCAGCAAACCATAGAGCACTCCGAAACATTCTCAGCTTCCTGGGAAGTATACAGTGCTAGCAGATGATTAAGCGCTCAAACACTAACAAACTGACAAGATCTTTCGCTGTCTACAGCCGGGTACCCATTCCCACCAGGGTGAAGTGAGGAAAATTCGTGTAAAGTGCCTTTCCCAAGGACACAGCGTCGGGTCCCCGATGGGATTCGAACCCACGACCTTACGGTTGCGAGTCCGAGAGCCTAACCACTAGGCCACCGACGCCACATCAACCATTCTGATTTGTTATTCTACCACAGACCTAAATGCCGCCCAATAAATTTGCACAAGTAATTATTGTGGATTTTGTCCAATAGTTGCACTTGTTGCACCCGGCACCCGTATAGATGAGTTGATTAAAGTTGACCAATAAGTGAGCTCTATAAGTAATGACCAATTAGCTATTAAGCACAATTTTAACCCAGCGAAAGTGATTGACTCGCCACTTAAAATCTTTAAATAATTTTCCTCGTTTTTGTTTGTTGATTTTCAGGGGTTTTTTTCTTCCTTCTCATTCACAGCACCTCCCCCTTTTTCCTTTTGTTAATTTGTGTTATATTTTAAAAATCTTAACTATTCTTGTGGTCACACTCATGCACACACACACACACACACACATATATATAATATACTCACACACATACACTCAAACCTACACATACACACACGAACACACACACACACACACACACACACACACACACACACACACACACACACATACACACACACACACACCAAGCAGTTAGTGATGAAACAACCTCGCGTCGCCTAGTGACATAGCCCATCACGTGCTATGCAGCAAAGCTGGGCCCGCCACAGTGCGGACAAAAGCCCAAAGAGCAAGTGCAATATCTTGGTAGTGGAGAATCTTTGAGGAGGATATTCCATGGTTGCCCAGTTTTACTGTAACGCCGTAATTGCACAAAATACAAGGTGTGGTTTGAGAACAGAGGTAAAAGTAAAATATGTGTGCGAAACATTATTGATTTAGACCTAGTGCTCCTTGCAATACTGTAACATCATTTGAAAGTAAGGACTTCTGAAGCTAGTATTCATTGAGTTGAACTTATGGTGACTATAAATCAAGAGACTGAGATGGAGGTGAACTGGACATTTACAGCCCATGCCATTGTTGTCTACTGCTTGGGCTTCCCTCCGCGACAGTTGGACTTCGAATGGAGAAGAAGGGAGAGGAAGACATAAGCAGAATTTGAGAAAAAAAGCATGGACCAAGAGTGCTGTCCTTTGCCATAAATGTGTTAAGCAATAGAGCCCTTGGGTATTTAACCTTTTTTGAGCCATACCGGCCTAAACCGGCCTTCCCGTCATGTTGCCATACAGGCTTTTACTACTGGCTTTCCTGCTGTACAGCCATACCGGCTTTTCCAGCCAGACATACCCGCTTTTAAATTTAGTGCAGGCTTAGAAATAAGAACGTCCATTTTAAATTTAGATGCTGATGTCCTAGGTCTTTTGTATGTGAAATTTCATTGAAATATTTCGGTTAGATCAAAAGCAAAAGCTATTTCTTTGCTACACCCCTTAAACCTCTGGAAAACACTGAAATTATTCGGTTCTGGGGAGCCTTCAGCTGGCTGCCTTTATGGTATTTTGTGCTGACCTGCTGACTTATTTATGGTGGTAAGAGGGTTAAGCAACCTCACTCAAATGTATTCCACCAAGACCTCTGTGATCAGGAGATCAGTCTCTTATGAGAATACCTAGGAATGGAGGTCAAAAACTCGCTGGGAGGTCCTTTTCACATCTAATGATCTAGCCAGACTAGGACCAACTATTTGAACCTCTCTCTCACAGCATTTGAGGGATACAAAGTCAGAAGCAAAATTTGAAATTAATTTAAAAACATATCTTGTGAAATCATATTTTGATAATTATAATTAGTCCTTCTTGTTCATAGTATTCTTATGTTCATAATGTGATGTACATACGATCATCAATTATGCTTTGGTAATATGAATGTCTGCTTTTGTATTAGCATTAATCTGAAGAGCTTATGCATGCACTTTCATTCATTTGCATTATGTGTTAAGTTGAAGATATTGTAAAGAGCTGCACTGAGTGGGAGTGGGCACTAGAAATTACCATGACTTGTATAAAGATGGAGAAACATTGATGGACCTGGAGTCTCCTGGAAAGAAATAATTAAATATCAAAAGATATGCCCGAATGGTGGTCTGTGGTCAAAGCCTCCAGTTTACCATCATGCAAAGAGGATAACATAAAGTTTACCATCATGCAAAGAGGATTACATAAAGTTTACCATCATGCAAAGAGGATTACATAAAGTTTACCATCATGCAAAGAGGATTACATAAAGTCTTAAATGTATTTGTTGGGACAATACAACTGGTGCATCATCCTACAACACTTAGCTAAGACCTCCACTGCAGTGTGTACTGTACAAAAAATGTTTGTAACAGACGGGAATACAGAGATGGCCTTTTTACATATAAATATTTAAGGCTAATATCCTTGTTGTGTAGTAGAGAGCATTTATGACTTTTTGATTAATGTTATCAAAAAATTGTTTGTGATCTTTTCACCTAAAGGTTACCAAAAAAGCTGTCCACACATGGTCCAGAGGGCATTCTGAGGTAAGATAAGATAAGGTGCATGATGAGATGAAAATGGGATAAGATAAATATAAAGTAAAGACAAGGTAAAGATAAGATAAGATTAGAAAAGGTAATATAATATCATAATGAGACCACACAGTTGAGTTGCATATTTAAGTGGTTAGGTTGCTCTTTCTAATAATATGTTGTAGGCCTACTGATCTTTGGTTTTACTTCCTTGTCTCACTTCTTACGAGAGAACTGGGTTGTTTTTTTTACACCTTTCTTGATATGCTGGTAGTGGTAGTGGGTTGGAAGTTGGAGCTCGCTGGTGTCTATGGTGTAATGGTTAGTTAAATTCCTGTGCAGGGAAGTTATTCTATTGAGCATCTCTGTCTGTCTGCTGGGGTGCCATATCCCCTCCTCCTGGTTTGGTCCTGGCAGGAAGGCTCGGAGCAGCCCATCTCTATCTGTCCCCGTCGTTTTATGCAAGAATAATTCTGAAATTATGCAAAATGAGCCCAAAAATGTGAAATTATGCGATTCTGTTTTATCAAAGAATGTTAAAGGAAAATAATCGGAAATTATGCCAAAAATGATCGAATTTTGCTAAATTATGCGGGGTGCATAAAACCTCAGGGACATAATAGTTCTGATTCACTCCTGGTGGTGTGAGAGTGCTGGTCTAATTAACCTAAAAACAAGGAGTCTGCTCCTCCATCTAACTGACTGTAGGCGTGGAGTGTAGATTGTTTCTTTGTGTTTCACTGTCTTTCCCTCTTTCACCCTGAGTCAGGGTAACGGCTTCTGACAGACACTGTCCACTTTTCTCTGTCTTGGTTTAGCTTCTTGACATCATTCCATATTTTCTCACTTTTCTGTACATCAGGCCAGGTCAGTAGAGGAATTTCATCTATGTCCATCGTCTTTCGTTGGTCCTGCTGGCAGAAACTCCTCTATCTCCCAAGATCCTAGAAAAAATTGATGTGTTTGTGGTTCCGTAATTCGTTTTGTTTTTAGTTACAGGGTTGGGTGATTTGTTTGTGTTTCCGTAACTTGTTTAGATTTTTACGGGGTTGGATCACACTAGTTAGTAGTAGTAGGCCCTCCATCAACTGGCTCTATTCAGAAGACCCAGACCTACGCAACTTTATTTATCTCTTAAGACACACAGGATCACAGCAGGCAACCCCCCCCCCCCCCCCCCCCCCCCAAAGACAGCAGGGGTGGGGTTTGTGTGTGTGCGTGTGAGTGTCAATTTATGCATTTGTTCCTTTTTATCTCTCTCTTTCTGTGTAGGAAAAAACCCCGCCCCAGTCTGATACAGAGGGATTGTCGGCGGCTGCTCCTGATGAAAGGTGAGAGATCTATATTTACAAAAGAGTCTTGGATGTGTTATATCTAAAAGAGAATAAAGTAGAAAAAAGCTGAATGTTTGGTTCAGGTTCTTTATGTTGGAAAAAAATCTGAATGAAAGCAGTTAGAAATAATTTGTTTACTGCATGTTTTGAGATGAAATGTTTTTGTACATTACGAGTATATATTAAAGATCTCACAACAAATTAAAAGGGAAAGAGTGGAAGTTTGATGTTGGCGATAACCCTTTCTGTCAGTGTGTACCGGTACCTATTTGTAGTAGAATGGGGGGGAGGGGCTGGGTTGCTCAACAGGCAAACGGTACACCGGGGATGCTTCTCTCTGGCCCACGACCGACTTGTGCGCTGTTGTGTCTCTTTTGTCTGTTTCGATACATTGAAGCGTGTAGTAAGACTTGACTTGTGTTAATGGTGCTAGGGGCACGTGGGGTGAAGATTTAGACAACATAACCCTCGAAATTCTTTTCGGTTAAGAAATAGGAACATTTTGGCTAATCTGTAGTTTTCTAACAAAGACAAAGAAGAGAAAAAAAGTGAGGATTCTATTTTCTTACTGTTTACTGTTTGGTCTAAGTGGACTGTTCTGTGTCAGTAGTTCAGAAATCACTCCCCCTTGTTGAGTACTCTTTCCTCATTTATGGAAAAGATGAATACATTTATTTGTAATGCTTTTGGTTTTTGTGTTTTTAGGTTTTCGTAAGCTCAGCAAGCAATTTGTGGACTTTTGATTTGGTCTTTTACATCTGTTTCTTGTTGAGTTATAGTGTTATTTTTGTCTGAACCTTTTTGCGGGTGAAAGGTAGTTGCTATTGCTCTTACAATCTATGTGCATGCTGCTATGACTAGTATTCTGCGAGAAGAAATAATTCTTATGTATATCTAAAATACTTTAAAATTGTTGACACATCTGATCTCTCATTTTATTTCCCCAGTGAAAAAGATGACGACGATGATGGATTTTCATGGTGAAAATAGATGGCTGCAGCGTTAAATTGAGCATAATGCAAATAACTCAATGCCAAAGCCAAGATATTTGTACCAGGCTTTTGAAGAACACAAAGCCTTTTTTTAAAGATTGTTTAAACTCTGCCTGTCCATGACATTGTGTCACAAGCAATGAGCAGGTAACAAATACAAAGAACATATCTGTGATATTTGTATTGATTGCAAAACAAAAAAAATTTACTTTAAGTCACATTGCTTGGCTTGTGTAATATTTTTCAACTGATTTAATGTACCGTAGCTTTGTGTACTCTCAGTACAGTTTGTATTATTTCACTGATTTCTCCACTTTGTTCTAGTTTTAATAGGCCCTTTTTTACGTAATAAATGCTAAAAATATGTGATATAAACCTGTCCGTACTCGATCATCTTATTCTTTGACTTATGCAGCAGTGATAAAAACCAGAGGGAAAGTAAATTTAATCTTTGTTCCTGATACTGAAAGAGGAAAAATTGCTTTCTGCATCTATTTAATTTCAAATCATATTATTATCCTGATACTCTGTATCATGCAGAACATTTGCCTTTCCTAATTTTACATTGTATATAATTGTTTTTTAGTTTTAGGATAGCAGCCTTTTGCGATATTGTCAGCATTTGCGATATAACTAGCATGGTATTATTATATGATGATAAAATGTTTTTTGTATTGAAATGTTTACATGAAACTCATACCCTCAAATTGTTAAACTTTTAGCAGCATGAATCCTCTGATTTGAGACTGTTGAGGAAGAGTGACGTGTCCAGTCAGCCTCTTTTTCCGTTTTTTTTTCTCTCCATAAAATGAGATGTTTGAAGAATGCAGTAGTAGTAGTATGAGATCATGAGAGAGAGTGGTCATCATTTTTTTCATATAATATTGTGAATGTAAAGTCTTTAATATTAAAGTTACAAGTTATTTTAAAGTCAATTTTTGGCCTTTTTGACATTTTTATGTGCATATTATATAATACAGTCAAACCTGTGTAAAACAACCACCCATTGTCAAGGAAAAAAGTGAGTGTATAACACGGGTGGCCGTCTTAGGCAGGAATGATAGAAATGAAGAAAGCAAATCATTCTCTTCCGAGGTCCGAACCGGGGCTGATCTCAGACTTTAGACTGCTGTTGTAAGGGCAATTCAAAAGGGTTTTTGTTTTCTTTTGAAAAAGGGGGGTGGGTGGTGTAAGAAGGTTGTTTGATGTCGTTTTGTTGGTTTGTTTCTTTGATAAGTTTTCTTTTTGTTGCTGATTTTGTGCAATGGTAAAATAAAAGAAGAAGACTGAGTGTGATGGTAAAACAAACGCACGGGTCGCCACCACTCAGAGAACGAGTGACGCTTCTGTCGCAAGTTCCCGTCAACGTCCATTGCTACTTTGTTACAGATTAGGTAAATAAAACAGTGACCAGTCACTTTACACACGATTTGTGCGTGAGTAAGTTGTGGGCGGGGCTTATAGGTTATGACGGATCACGCTACCCTCATCAGCAGTTGACAATTTATTGTTAGGCCCACCCATTGGTCAACTTGGGTAAACATTCATTGGAGAGACTAACAATAACGACAGGTAAATGAATTATGAGGGCCCATTCATAGGGTGAGGGGCCGATTCAACATTTTTGACAAAGTGTTGGGCAATGAGTGACCTGATGCAGGTAAATTTGACAGTGGACAATTTTATCACTAGTCATTGAAAGGCCTGAAGTCAAAATCTGGTTTTAATTCAAATAAGCAGTAGCTTAGAAATTTGGCCGTGACCACGTCTACGATAAATTGGCAATAGTATCCTGGCCAGAGGGCAGGCTCTTGTGGTCTCGAGGTACGGGGTTTGCCTCTCATTCAAAAAGTCCCTGGATCGAATTGAAACATGACAGCAGTGAAAAAATTGTCTGCTTAAAAATTTTTTCCTTTCTCTTTTTTGTTCTGTTATCTGCTCTCATCTCCACTCCCCCCCCCCCCCCCCCCCCGGCCTCCTCTCTCCTTTTTTTACACTCGACTCTTTCTTACTGCAACCAAGATCTAGCAGGGGAAAACAAAGAAGTATCCTGACAAACTCTGAGGCAACTAACTGAATACCAAAGCACATGCCCAGAAGTCATGACTAGTGCGTCCTATCATATCAGCATCTGTTTTGCAAGGATTTGTTATTCATCAATGGCTTTGTAATGATCAGAAAGTATACTCAAACGTGATGCAGATTTTGTCCTATCAGGCTGGTTACAGTGTACGTGTAAGATTTAACCTTGACAGCCATGCCCATTGTATTTGCATCACATGTGTCAGGACGTGGTAAAATCAGGCGATAGTCAATTTTTGGGCATATGGAGTTATTAGTATTATCTTAAAGCTAGTTCATTTGTCTTGCATTTGGCGAAAAAAATACCCACATATATAACGGAAAAAAAAGCCAAGATATATTTGTGATTGGAAGGAGGTGGGGGTCGCCTGGTGTTTGAAGTAAAATTAGCTAGAAAATGGCTACTAAAGTTTAGTGACTTCCAAAACTTGAGTGTCCTTGGAAATTGTAAATTTACATTTTTTGTACCTTTGATCAAAATCTACACAGAAATATGCTCTTAAACTTGAATGGACATAGAAGGTAGGCCTACTGAGCAAAAAAGAAAATTCGAAGGAAAAAAAAAGCGGCTAGAAAAATGCATTATTTTGACACGCGCCTAATTTCACCATACTGTTTCACATATTGGTATAGTACAAGGGGAGAACATCAGAGCTGCACACTTTCGAGAAAAAACTATCAAAGCTGCGCAGTTTTTGACGATATAGATACAATGAATTAGATTGCTGATTCCCAAAACTAATACCAACCAACAATGTTGTCAGCGTTTTACTGGGCTTCAATTAGATTTTGAATCGATTGAATTGGCTTTTCAGGTATTTTAAAGTGTAGGGGCAGCATTTTCTAGCTCATTCACTGTTCAGGATAGAAAGTGAAGTTGAGAGAATTGTCCATCTGCGTATATTTGCTTACTAGCTGGACCCTCTTTTAACGAAAGGAATGATCGCTGCATTAACATCAACTGAAAGTCATTGGCCTACAATATCAGTTATTTTTACTCTACTTGAATGGAGCAATAAATCTTGAGAGATGCAAAAAATTAGAAGGTCTAGATATATAGAGATATATTATTATATAGATGGATTCTCTATTCTGCTTTCGAGGTTGTACACTCCAGAATTTCAAAGGTGAGCACGGTTATTGAACTGAAATTTCACTTGTTTACTATGGCGTCTTAGAAGACGGACTTTCCCCAAGATAAAATCTGAATGAAACTAATGAAAAACAGAAAAATAAACTAGTGACTTCAGACTCCTCAGTAAAACTGTGCACCCTTTAAATGATTCTGCACCACCGTTAATTTTTTCAAATTCGAAAGTTAAGTGGTTGGGAAGTTTCGGTCGGCCAAAGTGACGAACTTTCACAAATATAATATGTATAGAGATAGATAACACATTCATTCTCCCTTCCTCTTTTTTGGCAGTGTGATTCTGTTTGGTCTGTGTTTTTAGTTTCAGCTTAAAAATGATCTAGAAGTCACTTAACGTCTCCAGAAAGATGAGTGTATTTGGATGGGGGATTTACAGAGTAATTTTATCATGTGGACTGTAACCGTTGAATGGAATCAGAAATCTAATTGTATCAATGTCGTCAAAAAGTGAGCGTCTCTGATACAAGGCGGCTTTGATAGTTTTTTCTCGAAAGTGCGCTGCTCTGATAGTTTCCCAGTAAAAGTTTTTAAGGCACCAGCAACATAATTGGGTCATATAAATGCTGAAGATCAGTGGTGTTAGTAGAGAATAACAAGGAAAGAAAGAGGAGGGAGATAACAATGATACATGTTTGATGGGAAAGAAGGAGCAAACTATATTAGAGCACCTGTCAACCACCCAACTGTATCATATTAAATACAGCCACTTTGCATTAAGCAAAATAGATTGAATAGAGCTACATTTGTCTCAAGGACTCAAAGCACACATAAGTCAAGGGGGCAGAAGGATTCATATTGACCAAATTATTTGTGTGTAAAGGATCAACAAATGTGTCAAAGGACTAAAAGAAAAAGCTTCATTTGTACACAACATGAACAACATTAACAAACACCCTACCCATTAAGTTGAAACAACAAAAATAAACAAGAGAAGCAAAGCTAAGTTACAAAAAAATTTATTGTGTCACAGAACAAGATAATGCCAAAAACATCACAAAGCTTCCAATTTGCATTCTACATCTTGCAAAGTACACAACACCCCAAAAGATTTCCCTCCTCCCACCCAATAGAACTGGTATGACCGCAGCATGTTATCCTCAGTGCAGACTTTAAGGTCCCACTTTCAGACTCCAGTGCATCTTTCCATCTCGTTGGTACACAACTCATTAACATCTCGACAAATCACAAAGACATGATAGTCCACAGTTGTAAAACGGGCAGTTTAACACACACATGCATTCAGATGAACTCGCTCTCTGTCCTATGTTCCTATTGGGCTACAGTTTCGCCAGGTGCCGCTGAGGATTGAAGAAAAGAAAAAAAATTTATTAATACAACAGTTTCTTAAAACTGGGAATACATGATAAAATTCAGCAAGTATTGAGTTTAAACTCATACTCATTATGAAAAAGCACAACAGCCCCACTCAGTAAGGACTCGGTAACGGCAACAGTGAAGAGAAGCAGATGAACTCCCTTGAGCCTTTTAAAACACACTAGCACAGTACATGCACAACCAAGACACACTAAAGACTTAATGCTTTGACAAAATGTTTATTACACCACAAAGTAAAAAAAAATCAGGACAACAGACAGGTACCACTGGAACCCCTCTAACTAACCACCAGTTGAGCCCCCATCCCCAAGTTGACTAGCCTAGACACTGGAACTGGAAACAGTGAGTCACAATGTCAAAACCAGACTTGACAACACAGGCAAGTGCCCATGAACTACATGTAGGCTACTTTTAAAACTCACTCTTACAGACATCCATGTGCAAGATAAACAGCTGAGCCAAAACATTTGCATAATTATAACCATATATAAGTGTAAATCCTCATATTCTATCTCACTCAGAAGAAGGAGTTTATCCTATTTTTAATTTAATTTGATTGTTTTTTTTAAGAGTTGAAATTTGGCAGCATAAAAAAAATTGTTCGTTTAGAATATTAGAAGTAGGCTACTTGAAGACACTCTACTAAGAGCAAAAAAAAAAGACTGTCTACTAAGACCAAAAAAAATAAATTTTTTAAAATGGCAAATTATCAAGACAGTAAAATCATGTTAGAACAATGGACACATTCACATTTCATGCTCCATCAACATTCATGTTACCGGTACAAGACTACACGCCCTACCCAATAAGTATGTAATTTTCCCTCTACTTTCATCATGTATCCAATTTTCAAATGACAATACAAGATAATATTGTAAAGTCACCATAACTTTCAGTCAATAAAAGAAAACCTAGATGCATCCGGCCACAAGTGGGCAATTTCCTGTTCATCTGTCCAGCATTTCAAGTTAGCCATTAGCCCCCCCCCCCCCAAAAAAAAATAATTTTTTTTTAAAATTATAGATGTTTTTACATCCCAATCAACAGTTTAAATCATTTAGGAAGCCGGCTTTGACCATGCCTGTCCATAAAAACTTTCCCCACACAGGAATTGAACTTCGGTCTCTTGTGTACAATGATAAAGCACCCAACTGCTACACCAAAGATGCCAGCACTTATGGTTTAATAATTGTTTTGAAATAGAAAACTTTAAAAAATGTTTTAAAATAACAATATAAAGAATACAGAATAGTCTGAAATGAAAGATAAAAACAACGGACTGAACAATACAATATAAAAAGAAGTCAAAACAATTATAATAGAACTAGTTCAAGCATAGTGCACAAACGGCTTATAATACATTATTTATACATTCCCTTAGAAAAGTTATTTATAACAAATTTTCAAGTCAATAAAAAGTTCGACCAAAGTACAAGATTTCATCAGCAATAGAACTCCACACTGAAAACATTGTTAGGACACCTTCCGAATATGCCTTAATTATTGGCATAAAAAAGAAAGAAAAAAAAAAAGAAGTCAGGCGCTTAGTGTTTGTACATCACTAGAAGTTAACACTACAGCAACTTAAACCGAACAGAAACACAAAACAAAAAGGAAGAAATTAAAAGAAAAATTACCCCGCACAATACAATTTTGAGGTGAAAATGCAGTCAACTTGTGCCTAAATTCTGAGCCTGTTCAGAAGATTGGATTTGGAAGGCATATTCATAATGGCATAAGCCATTATTGATGAACGTGACGACGTTCAGATCCATAAAATATATATATATAGCACACAGATAAGGCAGCTATGTTTTTTTTTTTAAAAGCCTGCTTGAAAAAGAATCCTCTTTTCTCTACCAAAGTGAACTGACAGCATCAAACTTAACATTTAGAAGCCTCACATGGTCATTAGGCAACACAAGAAAGAAAATAATTTTCTTCTGCGAAACAAGCCCCCCAAAAAGTCTGTATAAACAGGCTACTTCAACTTCAACCATAATTAACACAAGAATTTCCCCTCTACTTTTATCTTTTCAACTCTAGTTGCCAACAACACATAAACTGAAACCATTTCTGAACAGTTCAGACTTTTTCTTTCAATACAGGTTCCACAAGTTGACAGCCAAAATTTTATCCCCCCCCCCCCCCAATAAAAACTCCACCCTAATCAAGAAGAAAAGAAAAGTTTCAACTGCAGAGTAAGATGACAAGCACAAAAAAATCTATTGTATCACTCAGTAGCAGCATTCCATGGATTACCATGATTATTTAGCTTGTGGGAGCCTTCCCATCTGAAATACAATGTTAAGTTATGACAAAATATCCTTCTGTAAACATTGTGTAATAAAGCTCAGTCAATACTGGAGACATACAAGAACCAATAGAAACATATAATAATATTAGAAATCCATTTTGCATCCCATATCTGCAAAACTTGGATATTTACAGGTGATTTATTTTTCCTTCTCTTAACCAATACAATAAATGTAATACAGGCTAGCTTCCACTCATGATAGTCAACAGATTTTCAAGTTCCTAATTTTCTTAAAAAGTATACATTCTTTGTATTTAATCACACTAACACTGCATATGCATAAACAATTTGTACATACGAAGTAAATGTTGGCTTCAGTGAGTGAAGATCTAATAGAACATGACACTGATAGCAAATTTCATTTACAGAAGTTGCTGTAATAATATTATTAGAAGAGGTGAGACAGAGAGTGGGCATGGTATGAGTACGAGTGTAAGCCAATGACCCTTTGTTAGCTGAGTACAACAGCTTAAGGTATGTCAAGGACTCAGAAGAGTTCAGTAGTATATATATGTAGCCTAGTAGCCTGCACACTTCAGCTGTATCTGAGAAATCTGCGGATTGCCGTTGATCCAAGCAAAGGTGGATGAAAATTAGTGACAAAAATTACAATCTGCAAAATGTACGGGATTCAGAGCTCAACTTTAATTTTTTTTTTTATAATGTGGAGAAAACTGAGAATAGCCTAGAGTGGAACCAGAGGAAAAGGGATAGGCCTGGACCAGCTGAGTTTGTACTAGTGGAACAAACTGTGTCAATGGATTCAACAGGCTCAGGCCATGGATCATAATTTAGGAGAAATTTTGACGCAACGGTCCACCTTTGTTTACCTCCCTTGATATCCATGCATGGCAAAATTTTAATATAATGAAAAGGAAAAATTTCCACGTCTCACCAATTTCACTGTAAGCGTGCTAGACTCTCACCTCCTTAACATCCTTCCTTTTGATTTTCTCGCCTTTCAACACCCACATTATAAAACAGAATGACAATGAAACAAGACTGCTGAAATCTTTTCCTTTTTAAACAGTCATTATTCCCTTCAAAAGGAATGAAGGAAAGGGCACAACATATTTCTTTAAATAAGAAGTTTTCTTTATAATAATTATAAGTCACCTACTCCAACAAAGATGTAAAACATAAACCATTGTAAATTGAGGAGAAAAGCCCCCGAGAGATGTGGGTTAAAAACTGTAGTCACAAGTAAAGCATACCTTTTTAACAACAATAGAGAGAAAAACAGACAGACTACTCACCAACTTTTGACACTTTGCCTGCTTCCCATTTACTCGTCTTGATGAGGCTCTGGTCACGTCCAAAGACCGCAGTTTTTTGGGGTTCCTTCAAGGCATTCCTCACTACCCTCGCACAGATGCTTGAGTAGTTGATGTAGCTGCAGAATGGAAATAAATTTGTAAGCTAAAAAGCCTTCCTTTGACAGAGTGTCTTGCTGCAAGGCCCACCCACGAAACTCTTTTCTCCACTATGCTGTGGCATAAACCGGAATCACATACCCGTAAATCACAAACTATTGCCCACAAGAAATTCAAGGTGCAAAACATGTCACATTTTAGCAACCCTATGCCAATTTCATGATTGCCTTGGTAAATATAATAAATACAGGGGGGCATGTCCCCCCCCCATATTGTTATTAAGTCAGGGGGGCATGACCCCCCCCCCCCCGTTAAAAACGAGGCAAATTTTACTGCTCATTTTGTACAGAAAAATAGCAGCACATCTCTTGCTTTCTTTTGGATAAAAAAAACATCGATACTCAGTGCAGTATAATATGAATATCTCGAATTCGTCGGGACCGGCCTCAGTATTCGAGGAATACGTGAACAGTATTATGCAGTTTTAAACAATAGATTGATTACCTCTCTTCAGATGTCAGCGAGCGAAACGTGACAACGTGTTTTTGGGCAGCCCTACCCAACCTCTCCCACCAAGCGCGCAGTCCTTTGCGAAGAGGCGAGGGAAGGCTGATCGCGTGATGCATAACCCTTCCTCTCGCCCGCTCCACACAAGCCTAGCTAGGCACGCATGTCGAGCAGCGTGCTAAAAATAGCAATTAGCTGTTCCTGTGGAGGGGGGAAGGTGGTAGTTTACCGACCATGCCTTTTGCCGTTTATTACTATTCTTTTGTCTGAAGTGCACATCAAGGGACATTGACTTCAGACGTCTATGGCGGCATAATTTTTTCGACTATTCTGTGTTTGAGTGTGACAGTTTGAGCTTCATGTAATTTTCTTACAAAGATAAAGAAAAAAACAACAACAAAACGGGACCGCAGGCACAGTTCGACGGATGCGCGATTTCGAGTCTTTTGTGTTCAACCTAGCTGTTTATACTGTATTTAAGTCAGTAACAATACCACAGCTTTTTTAAAGATGGGTACTGCTAACCTATAAACAGCACAGGTACAAAGATCAATAATCCAAAAGTAAAATGCTTTTATCTTTTTTAAAATTGGACAAAATATAAAAAAGTTATGGCAATATACATGTCGGAAACTGAGGGTACTTTGGACAAAATTCCTATATATATAGGAATAAAAAAGAAGGACAAACAGCACCACAATATTGAAAACCGACATTATAAACCAGATAACTTTCACATTTACAAATGGAATGAGCTGAAAATTAGTGAGTCTATATTTTGGGGGGCAACAAAATAGAAAATGGAAGAGTCAAATTTGTAATCTCAATACTCTGTTAAATATATATATATATATGCAAATAAAATATTTAAATATGCAAATGAAATAGAAAAATAAGCCAATATATGGCTTTATAAGACACATCTGTCCATTCTGTTACATGTGGAGGTATAAAAATCTGTGTTTGCATAGAGATGAAATAGAAAATGTGACAAATAAGGTTTAAAATGTTTGATTGATTATGCACTCATTTGAATACGCATAATCAATTAACCAAATTGTAACTCGTAACAGCTCAAAAAGTGGAAAACTATCAGGCTAATAAATAATATTAAGTTCAATTTTTTTTAAAGAAATGTGTTAACTCCCAGCAGTTTTGCCTTTTTTGAGAAATGTGTTAACTCCCAGCAGTTTTGCCTTTTTTGGCTTTTTCATTTACGCTTCGGGGGTCCTCCATACCCTCAAGCCTCATGCAACAATGTATCTACTCCAGAGAGACATTTTATATACCAATGAAAAGGGAATTGGATGGTCTTTCAGACCCAGCCAATAGATTTCATTTTTGTCAGACTGTTTTGAAGTTTGACCTTTTTTTTCTTGTGACTAAAAATAGAAACAGAAATCTCACCTTTCCAACAGTCACAAAGAAAAGAAAAAAAAGTGTTTGAGAATTTTGAGTTAACAATTATTTCAAGGAAAAGTGCATTCAGTTCTGCATTATATTATGTGTCAAAGACACACACCATTCTGTTGGATAATAAAGAATAGAGAGCCATTCTAGTACATTCTACAATTCCAAGTTATTGCCCTTGAATCTGGACATTTCATATCATGGACTTTTTGCTCTCAGGCCTCCTGCAATAATCTATCTGTTCCAGATAGACATATCATATATCAATAGAAAGGGAATTAGATGGTCTTTCAGACCAAGCCAATAGATTTCATATTTGTCACGCTTTCTTGAGGCGTGACATATTTTTTGTGTTACTAAAAATAGATGCAAAAACAGAAATTGGACTGCCCCTACAATCACAAAGCAGAAAAATTTTATTTTACAATTTAGAGTTTACATTAATTTGATGAGAAAGTACATTCAATTCTGTATGTAATGTGTAAAAGACAACTCATTCTGTTGAAAAATAAAGAAATGAGGGCCATTCTTGTGCATTCTACAAATTCTCGGTTATTGCCCTTGAAACAGTACATTCAGAGCAAGACTTTTATTTATAATAAAACCATCAATTTTAATACCTATTTTATACCTTTTAGTCTATTTAGTCATTTTTATTTGATAAAAAATACCTTACAAAATCTTTCTTTATAAAAGTAAATTATGTATTTTATGGGTGAAATACCAAATCATCAGCCATTGTATATATTTATATGATATGGTACTGCATGAACTGCTGAGAGTTAAACTTACCATTGAAACTATACCCAGCGGCAATAGAAACTTTCCACTTTGTTTTTTTGCAACTGCACCCTCGTTCACGTGAGTAAGTGAGCGAAATTTCTCACATCACTCACCATGTACCCAACGATGACTCCGTGCTGATCTTTTTCTGGAACAAAATATTAACCACGCGGTCACTTGACCTACATGCAAACTATCATGTTTTGGGACTTGAGTTCTTCCGAAATTATGAAATGGTCTAATTTGTGTTTAGATCAACACATTATCATCAGCCACTTTAGGACTAAAAAAAAGTTACATACATACACCTTCCAGGCGGTTTTTGTAGACATAAATTGCAGTACAAGATGCCAAGGGCCCCTGGGAGCGCTGTTGGGCAATTTGCATACTCCAAGCTGTACTATCGGCCTATAGAGTGGTGCGGATGCTTCATTGCTCCCATTCATAAGTGTCCGCACATTATTTCCGACAAAAAAGCTGAGAATAAATGTGTCAGCTGCCATTGTTTTTATTTCATACAAGACGACAAGAAGTTTATCTCTACCCATGTATTTACAGTTTTGTGTTGTTTTTTAAATCTCATTTTTCGGTTGTACGCAGGCGGCCACAGACACAGCATAATTCATGAACAACCGCAGAGTATCTTTCTCTTGTTGAATGGTTAACCAAGAGCCAACATTGAGTGAACTTTGTCAAAAAATGAAAAAGTGCATCTTTCTTCTCTCATAACTTGACTACTACTACCAGCGTAGATTTAAGATTACGTATGGTAACAGACATGACATTCATAGTCAGTAGGGGGTTTCACGCTCGTCTGGCGAACGGCAATTTCTGCGAAAATCCCAGGTTTTTTCTTTCTCGGCCCGGCTCATAACTTTATTAGCACTTGGCCTAGCATCATAAAACCAACATGAAACGAGAGGTCTATGAGTGCTTTTTGTTTCCATGTTAGTTTCAATGGGGAGAGAAATGCATAACATTATAGATTTTTAAGTTAAAACTACAAGGGTCATGCGTGGCATGCAAATTTTGACAAATTTAAAGCGTAGCATGTTTCGGACAGTTTATTCCAGCGGAATTTTTCACCATTAATTGTTGTAGGTGGCTGTAGAAATCATGCGATTCTATAGTAGAATTGGACGCTGAAGAGCTTACAACCCACCCGAAGTTTTTACGACGCTTCCGTAAAAAGTTATGGTAAAATAAATATTTTATCTTCCAATTTTTTAAAAATTAACGTAGAAAAATGCCCCCGGGGCACGTTATATTGATAGATATATCATTTAGCTCTCTGGAAATGTCATTTTTGTTAAAAATGGTTAAAGCTTTGTAGGAGAAAATCGAACTTTACTGCACTACCCCAGTTCACTTCGTAAGGTAAAAAAAATAAAAAAAATTCATCCACAGAGCCAGAAGTCAGGGGCAAGTAACAGAGGATTTTTAATGTAACTCATGTAAACAAACACTGCCGTCAATGGTACGACTAGTTCTGGTAGTACAAGAGTGACCGACATTATCATCAACGGCCAAAGATACTTTTTAATATTTGAATACTGAATATAAGAAAGTTGAAACTAAAACAAAACTTTCAAAGGACATTGAAAAATGTGGTGGGCTTTGGTCCTCCTCCAAAGTGATGAAAACAGTGAATTCGTATCAATCCAAGAAGGAAAAAGTTGATTGAAGAAGTGCAGGTCAAGTACTAGAAAATCTGTAGTGGGAGGGGTCAGGTCAAAGGCGTTTACCCAGAATTCTGTGTGCATTACACAATAGCCAATGGGTGCAGAATTAGAAAGAAATTGAAAAATCTTGATGATAAATTCACCTGGCAACAAGGCAAGGTGAAATAATTAGTATTTAGCTCCTCAGAAGATGGATATTATTGTTGCTCTTTCCAAGTTCAGTGGCTCAGAAGCCCATGTTACTTGAACTTCAGTTGTGAAAAGAGAAAAAAATGGAATCTTTTTGTTGACTTAGAAAATTGCTGATCTAGTAATTGGTACTACGGCTTGGTACCGTAGGGAGTTTACTTATTATGTATGTACTACCTTTTTTTGAGGGTTTTTTAAATATTAATTAAATGTAGGTGATATTACACCCCCTTCCTGTCCGTTAGAGCCAACCTGTAGAAAGACAGATACTAGATAACAATTTTCTCCCATCTTGGGAATCAACGCTAGGTCTCCTGCATGCGACAGCGAAGCTCTTAACCGCTACACCACAGACGCTGGTTCTCTTCCCCTGTATCCATCTGATCTTTGGTTGTATGCTCTCTCACTGGATGCATCACTTTTAGCTGATCTAAAGAATGTATACTTTTGCTCAAGACTGTTGACATTTTTATGGAAATAGACCCAAAATCACTATAGTCAGGCACGAATAATTCAAATACATCGGGGATTGACAAATATCTTCGACACCATAATTTGGCTTAAAGGCTAATGGTGCTGAAAAATTTAAGAGATATCAGTCGGGGAATGGCAGTTTGTACGAGCTATTTATGATTTTCAGTTTTCTATGCTTGAGTTGTCCGTGCCCAGCTACGTTCTTTTTTTCGAGGTGAAATATGATTTTTTAAAAAATAAAATGGATTTATACTTGTTTTTTTACAGTTCGTTAGGTGTGCCCCGTCATGCTGATTAAGAAAATATATACTTTTGTACACTTTTAACTTAAAATATTAGTGTTACGTCACTTTTATGTCAAAATCTATGGCGGGTTTCGTCAACGGCGGACATATTGGTGGCCATATTTGGTCACATGACTTTGCACATTACGTAACACACTGTTTATCATGTAGGCCATTACATAACCTTTCTGGAAATGTATGATTGTCATGTTTTGCAAATGTTTTCTTGGAATGTAGAAAAACTGTCGCTAAGTTGTCTTTCTCATGCCTCATTTGGCACATTTTGGTGCCATCCTCTTGTCTATAAGTAAGTAAGTAATTATCCCCGAAAAATGCCCTAATTCACAACAAAAAACTTGCATAACTTTTGAACCGTTTATCCAATCTTCAAGCTGTCCCCCCCCCCTTTAGCTCTATCTAGCGACATGTATCTTGGTCTAATTAATGGTCTTTAAATTTTTGCATGAAACCCCCTATAGTCAGTTTAAGACAGCGCTGAGAAAACCAAACTGATGTCTAACAGCAACAAGAATATCACAGTGGACATCCAGGTCAACAACCAGAGGCTTGAGACAGTACGCACCTCCAAATACCTGGGTGCAATAGTGACAGACCAATGATCAAAACCAGAAATAATCTCCAGAATAGCGCAAACTTCAGCAGCAATGACCAAGTTGAAAACCATCTGGAAAGACGGAAATATCACCATCAGATCAAAGATCAGACTGATGCGTTCCCTGGTCATGTCAGTATTTTTGTCTGCATGAGAATCCTGGACCTTGAAAGAAGGATCAAAGAGGTGGAGATGAGATGCTTACGAAAGATCCTTGGTATCTGAAATAAAGACCACATCACAAATGACGAAGTTACACAACGGATCAAAAATGAAATTGGACCATATGCTGACCTTCTCATTCTGGTCAGGAAACGAAAACTGCATTGGTATGGACACATCACCCGTTCATCCGGCCTTGCCAAGATGATCCTGCAAGGCAGCGTCCAGGGAAAAAGGAGCAGAGAGGCAGACTGAAGAAGAGTTGGGAGGACAACATAAAAAAATGGACAGGCCTGGATCTAAAAGACACTCTCAGAAAAGCTGAAGACCAGAAGGACAGGAGGAAGCCGGAGGCCAAATCTTCAGAAGCGCCCCGACGAACATCCAGTCTACGGGATAGGTGAAGGTGAAGAAGACGGTATTCATTGCGAAAACACACGTGTCCAAGCCCGCTCGCTGTACACCAACAGTAAATGCTGATTGACCCCGGTGGCCCGCCCGGAACGTCTGACGTAATGGGTTACTGATAAGATTCCCATCTCGGCACAAGACGCAAGACAAGAGTTCAGTTTGTAAGTAAAAAGTTCTACACACAGAGATCTCAAATTTTAGTTTTTACAGCAATAAAGAAGACAAGTGGGGCGCCTGTCTGGTCTGCGACCGATCCGCAGCTCCGCATAGTTTTGAACTACAGAGAAAAATCGCACCAAACAAATCTCTGGTACTTAAAAAGAAAAGATTCAGCATTGTACGCTCACATGTCATTAGTTTGACCTTTCCTCTGATTTGTTGCAGTTTCATTCATTCGCCCCAACATTCCCTTCGCCAACTCTCTCTCTCTCTCTCTCTCCCTCCCTCTCTTTGATTTCTTTTTTTATTGACACTTTACAACAACGTGGGTGCAGACGTGAGCAAATTTCAAATTTTGGTTCACCCACCGCCACTGGATACCCCACAATCGTATTCAGACATTATAAACATTCTCCTTATAATAATTCCTAACGTCAGGAGCTTTGTTTTAAAATTGAACTGGCCGTTTTCCTCCAGTATTTTTGCAAAGTCCAGATGAAAATGCACATATCTACGTACGGTCCCTTAACTCCAAACCAGCGCAAGTTGGGCGTACGGTCCCCTAGCGCCAAACAATATGGGGGCGTACGGTCCCCTAGTGCCAAGCGCTATTGGGGCGTATGGTCCCCTAACAATAGCCTTGCCGTAAAAACGCAGGAGGATTAGATCTAGATCTACCACCACCCCCCCCCTCCTGCATTTTTAATCACTAATAATATATTTTTTTAAAAACAAAACAACTTCAAAGCAACTCTACAAATTAGGCCTATAATTTATGGGACTGTTGGTCCGTCGGGAGGAGGAGAAGAGAAAAAAACAACTGTCTGGGACCAGGATCGAACCGTTCCAAAAATCATTGCACGACTTCCAACGCAGACGCGCTGTCTATTCAGCCATTAAAACTTCCGTGAGAAAGATGTAGATTAAGCATACGAGCCTTGCCTTAATATACATAGACACTTCCATCTTTGGTGCCTTGCGGTTGGCTATACTTAGATGTAGTCACGTGATCGGAGGGGTATCCTGGTCTGACGTCAAACAAGATGGGCGCCTTACCTAAAAATAGTTTGCGTCTTTCTACGTTTAATCGCATGTCGGCTAGCCTAGCAGTCTAGCCGTCATTAAAAAGTAGAGATCTACGGCTAGCCTCTTCCCTTTCAAAAAGAAAAATAGAGAGATCTAGAATCTAGATTAGATATCTAGATCTAGGCCTACATTCTAGATCTAGAATCTAGATTCTAGATCTACCCCACAAGCAAACATAACAATTGGAAAGCATACTTCAGACCAACTTGTCTCCAGAATGCAGTCATTTTGTACGAAATTTCTTCACGGGGTACTTTCGACTCTTACACTCGTTGCGAGGGCACCTTCACAGGAAGAGAAAATGTGAATGAGGTGAAAGAAACGCAACCGGAAGCTGTGATCAGAATACAATTTTTATAAAACTATAACCGATTCTTGATACTGAAAGAAACAATTAGATTGAGAGCAAATTCGAGACAGGTGTTAGATCACCGTACACATACTAGATCTACATTATTATTGTATTGTTGAACGGTGATGATGATGATGATGATGATGATGATAAAAGTTAATAACCAGAAATTTTGGGAATTTTTATTCATTCTTCTATCTGAAAATTAATATATTATATAAGACTCTCCCTATACCCATTCTGCTTTTCAAATAACGATGGTGATGATGATGATGATGATGATGATGATGATGATGGCCTCCCCCTCCTCCCAAGTCTCGAAAAAATTTTTTTTTAAAAATCCGATGTGCCTGTGACAGTCTCATCTTTCCTCTGCTTTAAAAAAAAAAAAGACATAAAACCTATCTAAACGTGCAGTTTTCGCTCTTCTGAGTGAATTTATACAGCCTTTCTTTTCATTCAGTGGTGAAACGATGATCATTGGACAACCTTTGCAAATATTATTGCACTATTTGATAACTATTTTTGCAAGGTCTCTAGTCAGTCTGTAAGATGATTTTAAAGACAGGACCCCAAGACTACGTCTATCTCTGATAGGAGTAGTGGTCCAATATATTTAGCTGGACTACCGGCCTTGCCTGCCTGTTTTTAATTAATTAAAGGGACGTGGGAGTGGGTGGCTACTCTTGCTCAACAAAATGGGAGCAGTCAAAATAACGGTCATGGCTCATAAAAGAAAAGACATCATAAAGAGTTCAAAGTTTAAAAATCTTTCGTCGTCGTCATCGCTCGCTGTCACAGAATCAATTACCTTTTTGTTTCCGTTTCACTAGTTTCAGTTTCAGTTTCAGTAGTGAGAAATGTGTTGGGATCTCTCTTCTCAGATTTACGTCTCACTTGGCTTGGGTGTGGACTCGCTCGACACTGAACTTGGACTGTCTGTGCCAGAAAAGACTATTATAGGCCTAGATTCCCTCGTGAAAAGCGATGTCCATTGTTTGTGTATGATTTGTGGATTGAAATTCGAGGAGGACTTTTGATATCAACTTTGTTAATTATTTCGATTAAGTAAGGGAGACTTTGGAACACACCAATTCAATCCCCGCTGAACTATTGGTTGCTCGTAATCTGTCTGCCCCGCTCAATATCAGTCGTAAGATGCACTGATCTATTATGAGCTACGAGGCTTGAAATAAGTTGAAAGACAAAAAAGTGACTTTCCATGAAATTGTTGTTTTTTTGATCTATTGAAAGTTTGATGTCTTCTACTTCATTTAATAACCTAGTAGTGTTGATAGAGGCGTTAAACCCATACCATTTTCACATTTCACTACTTCATTTAAGATAAAAATAAACAACTATAATCGACTATCTATAAGTATTTTATTTTGATTTATTTTAGAGATGTGAGTGGTTTGTTGTGAGCTTGGGTGACGGGATAAAGGACTCTGGACCTTGCAAGAGTGTAGGTGTGATATTATTTTTAGAACCAATACCTCATGGCCACCTTTGCTTCAACCAAAGATCGTGTATAGTAGAGAATTTTTGCTTCAAAGTTCTTCATTCGCAACTATTTTTGGATTTTGACCCCTTTTCGAGCATGATTTGTTAGAAATGTAAACAACTTTGATTGGTAAAACGGAGTAAAAACGGTATCTTCTGGCTCACTTTCAAGCTTGTTTACCTAAACAGCTGACGGGCGTGCCCTAGCTGCTAGCTGTTATCGTCTGTTGATCTTTCAGTTTTACACCTGGATTGACTTTAAAAATCCGTTTTTATTGTGTTTTAGTGCTTTTAAAAGATTAATTAACCTTCCCTTAAATCTCTCAAAGCGGACTCCGAGGCCACCGGGCGGTCTATGTGCATGCTGTGTGTATGTGTGTTGGTGTGTTTGTATGTGTGTGTGTGTGTGTGTGTGTGTGTGTGTGTGTGTGTGTGTGTAAGTG